ATTTTAATAGTGAAATTCATTTTATGTTGTTTGAAATGATTCATTCACCTGAAATTACAGAGCTGTTTGTAGCTCTTCTATATCACCAGAACAAGACATCAGTAGGTTACAATCATAAATCCTGACAAAGACTGTGCTTCTACAGATTCACTGTGTGACACTAAAGAATCTGGACATTACAAACCACCTTGTCATTTATATGGAAAATAATACTATAAACCAACAATCCTTAATCCAAGACAGGAACGAGTTACTGTATAACACAAAATGTTCATTGTGTAGAAACCTTTCTGGTTTTCATGGCTAAATAGAGACAAACCATGAAAATAAAACGTAACAAACAATAAATTTGATGAAAGAACTTTGTACATTTATAAGATAATAAAGTTTTCATTTTCAAAAGGAGGCCTTGGGCTTGAATCATGAAAGAAAGCACTCATGAATATTTGATGTTATACAGTGACAGAGATTCACTTTCACAAAACAAACCATGTGTATATTCTGCTATCATTGTTATCATTTCTATCTTGACTCATAGCAATTAACATTAGCTAATCTGTTCCCCTCATGAATCCTGTACCAAACAAAGTAACAGTATTACTTATCAGTAATATGGGTACAGAATGAAATATTTTTACCTCTCCTTTTAATAGTAATTTTATAAATCAGTAAAATAGCTGGATTTGTTATAAGAAGACAAGCAGAATGTACCTTGATAGTTCACATCACTAGTCAATTCATAACAACCATTCTGGATCACAGGAAATATATACAGAACAGTGCAGGCAAAGTTAATATCTTACCCATCAACGGTAAATATTGTTAAATTTAATATACAAATACCATGGACTCTCATCAGCCTGGAAAATTCATTTCCAGCCAGAATTACCCAAACTATCATTTTAATTATCAAAGGAATAAACGAACTATTTATAGTATAACATAACCAACAGGAACAAAAACAGTTGACAAACTGGTCAATTACACATTTAAACATGATTCATACGCATACGAAATTAACTTCAAACAAGAAAAAAATATTACTGCATGTATATATATATATATAGATAACTAAAAAATACTGAACACAAAACACTTCGTTATTGATTAACATAACAAGTGACAACTGATATTGAATCACACTGAGTGTAAAACAGGAAAAATATCAACAACTATATAATATGTGACAAACTTAACAAATGATACACATTTAGATACCTATACCAATCATGTAAATATTGGTTTTGTTAGAGCCGTATGATAAACATCAATTTCTCTACAAGATTGCAATAGAAGCAAACTAACAGTGTCAACAACACTGGTCATCTTGATCAAATGTTAACAAGGACTTAAAACTTTATGGTGAATTTTCTAGTGATCTCCCCCTTGAACTAGTTAATAATTCCATCATTAAGTTTTAATTTGTGGGCTTTTTGAAGAACAAGTCACTATCTTGTATAATCAACCAAATATCTTTTGTGGTTTTTTTCACCTAAGGACAAATTAAATTACAGCTGTTTCCATTGCAGCTACTTATATGATGTTTGCTGTGGTCTGTACCAAATATTGGTACTATAAAACATTTCTAGTGACTTTCTGACATACAATGACCACAGAAAGTGTAGAACTGAGATGTATAAATAAGGAAGATTTTTTTTTTAATCCTAGTCCCATTCCAAGGTGCTCTCAATTTGGTCCCATCAGAACTCTAGCAGGAGTGGGCTGGAGGGACATATAACACTGATTCATGTTGGACTTTTACTACACAATGGTATATTACAGTACTGGCTTACATTTCTACAGAAACTATAACAGTGGATCAATTTACTTCCTTGCAGGGATTTAATGCTGGATAAATAAGGTATACAGTGGTCCCGTGATAATCCAGATGCTGATAATCCGGAAAATCCAGACGGAAACATTCGGGAACGGATTTCATTAACATTATTTGAACTCATCAGGCAGCATTGATGTAAGTACATTATGCATTGCAAATCATTTTCAGGATGTTTACTTTGTCAAATATTTTGAGTAAATATGCACTAATGTTTTCAAGCAGATGTTTGAGAATCAAATATTACACAATACATGTATTGTTATTAATAATACACCAATATTTGCAATAAATGCTGTGTGTAGATCATAAATATTCTTGGGAATTGTTTGCAGTGTCCTGTCCATTACAGCACCAAGGGAGGTAACTCAATTTATCTTGGCAAGTTGACTAAATTCAGCAATCCAGAAACATACATAATCCGGACAATTTTGACCAGGAACAAAGGTGTCGGGATTTTCGAGGGTCCACTGTATAAACATCGCTTACTCTCCGAGGTACATATAAAGAATCCAAAAAAGAACTAGACCTTACATCCAGGGGTCAACACATTTAGGATCTTCACTAATTAATAATTAGGTTACTAATTCTGACTACTGGCTCTTCTATTGACGGCCCCTTACGGAATGTCTAGAAAACTTATTGATATAATATATATTAGTAACCATAAAAAAATCTATGATATTACAGATAAATATGGAAATCAAGGTAATATACAAATCAACTACATCATTAAATCATCTACATCATTAAATCATCTAAATCATTAAATCAACATCATTAAATCATCTACATCATTAAAAAGAATAATCAACAATGAACAAGAAAAATTTGCAAAAATGATTCTTAACAAAATGTTATGATCACTAATTATTGCTGTCAGTGTTTTATTGCCAGTAAACCTAATATTGTTGTATTGACTTGTATAAAATTATTTAACGTATTTCCTTCCAAATGATAATCATATTTTGAAAATTTAACCAATAGCTCCAACTTATATCAGATTTTCAAATATCCTCTCCAAACCTTTATTTGGTCACATTTATAACCTTATTAAATAATATTTTGTTAACACAACATCATTCACATGATCTCTGGACCTTTACAAATAAAACTGTTTTAAAAACTCTCAGTGTAACAATAATCAAACATAAATAAAACAACCACTATATAAGAAATAACATCAGGATATTACTAATGCTAATTTCAGTTTCCCAGGGAATATGTAAATAATGCTCATTCATGAAATTTTATTTATCTACAAGAGATTTAAACTTGTGTACATATCTATGTAAAATACAAATTGCCAATTAAATATGTTCACACAATTTTAGGACACCTGTCTCATCAATCACATGTACTTTATTTAACATAGAATTGTCTTTGAAGATGTCAAAACATATCTGGGAAATATCTTTTTTTTTTAGCACATCTGATAAAATCAGGACAAACCTATACATTTTTGTTGCTTCTCCCAGATATTGATCCTACAGTGATCAATCTACAATTTTTTTATTGTTGAAAATCAATATGTCCCTAAATTGAAACTTTAAGTATTTCCAGAAATTCTGAGTTCCGTCAAAGTTCAATGAGTACACTAATCCTTTCAATTCTTGGGCCACAACTTATCTGAATGATGTGATCTGATTAAGTTAGCTCCCTTTATCTGTCCATGACATGTATACCACAGCCTATTGAGAAATGATCAGTCATAAATGATATCTAACTGATTCATAACGATGTACTCAGTAGAATGGAGATACTATATATAGTAACATACTTTATGAATCATGATAAACTCATCCATTCCTGGACCTGTTTTATATTCCCTCTGGATAATATAGTTTTAAAACTATGAAATTTTTAATTCCTTCCAGATTATCACAATTATATTGTAAAAAAAAGCTCATTACAGCTTCTGGATTAAAACAACATGAGTAAATATCTCTCTTTATATGTATAAACATAAATAGGATTATAATACTCTTGATTATCATCAGAATGAAACATGTTAATACAAGGTATCTTGCTACAAATCAAACTGCCATTTCAAATAACCAAAGCACCATAACAGAAAATAAAATCTGAAATTTTTTAACAAAAAATATTGATATGTAGAAATATCTTGAGTATCATAGAAAAAAATATGATAGTAAATGAAAATTTCAGTAAAATGACCAATGAATATGCTGCACAAATATTGTATTAATAACCCATGAATTAGGAATGTTTACACAAAAAATCAATATCTCAGGTTTTTTTCATATGCATCCAAGAATAAAACATAATATAGCAAATTTACTTGAACACATAAAGATTACTAACACAACTAAAGCATAGTATATGTGAGTTTTGATTCTAGAGCTGTAAGTTTGAAAATATAGCTCAATTAAAGACAATCAGAGCTTCTGAACACTTAACCCATAGTTATCTGGCATTCACATGGACAATAAGTTAAAAAGTTCAAACAAATGAAAAAAAAAATTGATCAGAAATAGGAAAGTTATGTTACACTGTAATTAAAATTATCATCGTCACAAAAAATAAATCCAAAGTTTCTACAAAATATTTTCTTTCTTTCTTTAATGTGAACCACATTCTCCTAACAGTAGATTCTTACAGGATCAGTAATTAAAATCTTTACATTCTTGTAATTATAAGACCAAGAACAACTCTAAATATCTCAATATGTTTAGATGCCTTTAAGAATGGACGTGGCAAAGAAATAATCAATTTTAGAAATGGACGGAAGTCTGTAATACTGTACATATTGTCTACTGTCCGAGTAATTAGATAATATAAACATTTAACTGGGAAATGTATACATACGTATTCTGTGGAAACTTACGAATACATATACAAGAGTAACATCAAAAGTTAGATGACAAATCAAAACTGACATATAATCAAACTTCATTTCTTTGAAGTAGACAGGCTCACAAACAGATATTGAATTTTCATTGTTAATAATTTAGGTAGAGAAAGAAAATTAACCCAGACCTGAGTAAACCCTCTGAGTTACATATTTCAATTATCAGATCAAGTTCAAACTATCAAAGCTTGTCTGAAGTTGACATTTTCAAGGGAAACATATGTCTAGAATCTGTTTCTAGTATTTATGACATTAACTACAAATCTATAAATATCTCGTAACTCACATCATGTCTTAAAGTCGTGCACCATTTCTTGGAGATGGTATGTGTACAAACTTGGCATATGACCAGTCTTGATTTTTTCTCCAACCTGCAGACATCTTCTTCATTTTTTTTCTGAACATTCGGTGCCTGGTCAGTTGTGTTTGGATATCAGTGACCCTGACCCTAGGAACCTGAAAAAGGGCTGCTGTGAATCCCATACATGTTGACCAAAGACCAGCATGGATGACATCTTCCATGCCCTCCCCTTGCCATAAACTCCAAGCAAATCGGCCTACAAAACAGAAAATGGTGACATTTCAGACAATCAGCAAACTGTATCCTAGTTTTCACACAAGAACTTAGCTTTGCTCTTTCTCCAATAGATATCACTTTGGCAAAGAAGTGATTGGTCGTTCTGACAAGTAAACTAGATGTGTCGCTGTGCCATGAATGCACCCGCCAGCAGCAAATCTCTTCAAATATTTATTTTTAAGTGGACATTACAACTGTATATTGGTCAGAGTAGTAGTATAAAATATGAAACAACAGTCACTTTGTCAGCACCTAGTGTCCAGTGATAACATTTTTTAATTGGCTAGCATCACTCGTATGCTTCTAGGTAAAGATGAATTCATATTGAATATATTGAATATTAATATACGTCAATTATTTTTGTTTTTGTTGTTTTTTGTTTTAATGTAATAGTTCAACGAAGCACACTAACAACTGATATAACGATAAATACACAATAATCATTTGTAATAAATAATCAACTAATTACCATCCAGCTACTTCAATTCCCTACTCTAAATATAGTCTGATGACCTTCGGTCCCAGCAGAGAATCTAACTACCTTAATGACCTGTAGATAATCTAGCCATGTTAATGCCCTGTAGATAATCTAGCCATGTTAATGCCCTGTAGATAATCTAGCCATATAAATGTCCTTTAAATAATACAGTTACCCAAATGCCTGGTATATAACATTGTCATCTTGATGTTCAGTACATTACCTGTTCATACATTAATGCCCAACAGAGTATACTGTCACCTTAATGTCCAGTAGATAATTGTATATGCATAATGTAGCTACCTTTTGTCCAGTAGATATATGAGTTAGTACATAGATAATACATAGTATAGGATTACATATCCTCTATAATACTACACTAGAAATATAATGAACTTAAGGAAGAAATGTTTTCTGCACACCCAAAGACATCCTACAGCTCACATACAACCATCTTACAGGATATCTGCAGAGTCTTTTTCCTATTTTTCCGTCCTGATTGACAGTGGTATATAAACGACAGACTTTGTGAATTAAACATTTAAATTTTTGAGACTGTCCAGGGAATTGGTTAATACATTATCAGCCCCAAACGTTTCCCAGAGGATATCCTATAAACAAGGTTGGTATATACACTCTGTATATAAATAGTCACACATTGCATATCAATAGACTTTGAAAAGCCAGCTGTAGGATATTCTTTGAATTAGAGTGATATCCATATTAAAAGCAATCTTCATACTGATGTATAACTACAGAGTCTTACAGTGAATCATGGCCGACAAAAGACTGTACTGCCCAATAACAACTCAATGTAACATATGGGTACATTAATCAATTTGCCTCCTATTATTACAAAAATAACACTACTTCAAGTACAGGTTCTCCACATTTTTATCAACAATATGACATGTCGATGATTCAACCCTTAAAGAGATTTGCTTTGCAGGTTAATCAGATATTGATCCTTTTTCATACGATTCATGTTAACTAATGTCATGCAAAGATATCATTAATTTCAATTCCTCACTACTAAGGATCAAACCAAAGACCATACACAGGTTACATTATACCTTCTATTGATAGAGCTAGAGGAAGGAAATTCTTGGTAATGTTAAACTCAGCTGATCAGTTTACTTAATTTGTTTCCTTGAGAACCAGGTGTAGATAAAATAAATGTTATAATTACAGTATTTTTCTGGATTTTAAGCTACAACATCTTTGCTCTTAAGTTGGGCATGTGACTTCTACACCGCTGCATCTTATATATGGACAAAAAAAATTCGGCAGAATAAAAAAAAATTGTAGGGAGCATAACTTTACCAGTACAAGAGGGTACTGCGTTAAGACAGGTAGCTGTTGTAGGGACAGATGTTTGTGATGGTAACATCTATAAAAAGGTTATCTTTATAATACATACCTACAGATATTGTTCCTACAGTGATAGAGGCTGTGTTAAAGAACCGTACTTCAAATGTGCATTTCTTCTCAACTGCCTCTATAACAGTAGCCAACAGAACATGACACCCCTCTAACATGTCCAGTGCATGCTGGGACTGACGTGCCAGTCTCTCGGAGTCCCGAACCGGAACAACATTTCTCAAATCCTTTGCCTCTATCATTTCAACCATTCCATGTTGCATAGCAATTACAACTTTCTGAATGTCCATTATTCGGAACAGCAGTTCCTTCAATTGATCTTTGGCCCTGGATGGTATGACAATCACATCATCTGCAGCCTTCTTACATACACATGATGACAGCACTACATACAAAGTCTCTGAAACCGTCAAGATGAGACTTTGTAGACATGGCAACCAGCCAGGCACTTGGATGGTGTCAGAACTCTGTGGTGTACACACCACATGAAGGCGGTCCAGAAATATCTGAGTCTCTGATATGAAAGTGTGGTCCTCGTAGAAGTGACCATCACGAAGGTTCAGCTGCTGAAGCTGGTTACAGAGACATTCAATAGCTTGCTGTTCTTCCGATGATGGCTTAACTAAACTGTGAAGACCTAGAATAATAAAAAAAAAAAACAGTTCAAAGGAATTCATGGAAAATTTCAGTTGGATCTAAGTTTTTATGTATCAGTTGATAAATCATCTCATTTTTAAGGCGAAGAATCAAAGTTAGTGTCACTGAAGGCTTGTTACTGTATTGATTTGTTACTATAATTGTAATAAAGACTCAGTTCCCTATATTATCATGTAGTAAACACTGATTATTTAAAACAGAATGATCACAAATTTACCTTTTATAAACATAAAAATGGAAACTAGTGCAGAATTCTAAATAAACATACTATTTTTTTCCTCTTGGTTTGTTTCTTTGGAATAAAAGTAGTTTACTGCACAGTGGCATCTTAATAAATTGGCTGTTTATTCACAAATACGTATGTTTTCATGGAATGGAATCATCAGATTTTCAGAACAGATTTTTCAATGGAAACAATGGAAGTCGCTCCATTCAATTAATGAAATTGATCAAAAAAATCTTTCGATTAATATTGGATTCCTTGTGTGGACTGTAAGATTAACATCTAGATGACAACGTGGACAAGCTTAGTGGGTGTATTTGATGAAGCAGAAGATGCTTGCCCTTCTGAAACACCTGGGCCCGCATTCATGAAACCGTTCTCAGACTCAAGCATGAATTTTGTGCACAAGCCTTGTGTCTTGTTAAAGTTAGAAATTGATAAATAAGGCTGATTTTGCAGATGATTTTAAAACCAAGTCAAAGCTATATTCAAGGTTTATATATGACATTTGCATTATTTTATACGATTTAGGTGAATTATAAAACAGTTTGCTTGAACACAAAATTCATGTTTGAGCACTAGAATGGTTTCATGAATATGGGCCCTTATTCTTCTTATACTTTTTATGGAGTCTGTGAAAATCGTTTTTGTCCATATTTCCTCCTACTTTCATTGAATTTGTGATTGAATTATGATTTCTAGGACATGTTGGTATTTTCCTTGTGGTTTTGATAATATTGTATGTTGTAAAGATAATAAGGATTTTGTGGCAAATTATGTGTTACTTTGTTCTGTAACTTATAACTTGTAAATTAAAAGTCAAGCATCTGGTGTGAAGCCTGTTGGAACTGAAGCAAGACAGCTTGATGGACTGGTCACTTTTTTATGTCAAAGGGAGGACAGTGAAAACAGCAGGATTCCCTCCCTCGAACTATTGGGCAATATAATGTTACCAATACCAACAACACCATATATTTTCTAGGCTGAGAATGGCTGGAAATTACATATAAATTTACATCAGACATTACATCAGTACTTACAATCAGTAGATCTAGAAAACGATTGCAGCTAGCAAAATATGTAAGGAATATTAGTAATGACATCAACAAAATCCATAAAATTGGAAATATATCACGTTGACCTAACTGTATTACACAGACCAGAAAAAAATTAGGCCCTATGTGACAGCTGTTATTCAATCTGAACTACCTGTGCCTGTATAGTTTGTTGGTGTGTGTTGTTGGTCAGTAAGAAGGGAAGCTCATATTCATTACAAATATACACTAATTGATTAATTTCTTTGCAACACCGATACAAAGAGATATAGACAAACTCTTATACCACCGTTATTTACGTTCCTGGTGCTGTGTATTGATATGCAGAACCTAATTTCAGGCCACACCTGGCACAAACACCTGTACCTGGAACAAAGGCAACACAGGCAAAAGTCAATGGTTTGTGTGAGGCTTCAAGGCACTGTAATTTTTGCTTGTGATGTTTACGTTCGTCCTAGACACAGGTGTCTGTGCACCTAGACACTGATTTCTTAAGGCCTGTATACAAAATGTATGTACTAGACAGTATACGCACAGCATGCTACCTCATAGGCATTGACACTTTTAAACCAAGACATGCATTTAATGCCATCAAGCGTGACATTAGCATCTTTAATTATACGTACCGGTGTCTGACATGGCCCCTTCACACCTTACGGATGTGCACTGGGACTAGCATTTGGCTAACTATTACGGCCTCAGGTCTGGGTGTCACTGCGCGGACAGCCTGGATAACGTCCTGACCTTCTGCTGTCAACAGCCTGACAAGGGAGGCATTCGAGGACAGAAAACTGCAATGTTCTGTATCTTTATATACATACAGAAACTCATAATTACGTTTAATTCAAATCGTCAAATTATTAAAATCTGTTAATCTAGCTTGTCGGGGGAAATGTGTATGCACAGTTAGTAGCAATTATATTAACACATGTATTATTTCAATGAATGATCCCTCTTATGCAATCGGTGTAAGGACAGATTATTACCCTATTATTATATCCTGTACAAAACATTAGCCATTCGCAATACATTGTCAGTTCAACGTCATTGATTCCCCTGCGTACACTACACAATATTTTATATTGTGATAAAACACTTTCATGTAAAACGGTTTCTCTCTTGAAAAAAAGTGTGTGTGAGAATTAATACATCAGTTTTCTGATACTGTAACAGACACGAGTAAAACATCTCATCTGCCACTTGCAAAAACACATTTCTATCTACCAGAGACAATGACTAAAATGAACATTCTTAATTCAGACTACGCGCGGTCACATGATCTTCAGTTTTACATATGTACAACAGTAATGCAATCTTCAGTTTTACATACAACAGTGACGCAATCTTCAGTTTTACATATGTACAACAGTGACGCAATCTTCAGTTTTACATATGTACAACAGTGACCCAATCTTCAGTTTTACATATGTACAACAGTGACGCAATCTTTAGTTTCTTCAGTTTTACATATGTACAACAGTGACGCAATCTTCAGTTTTACCTATGTACAACAGTGACCCAATCTTCAGTTTTACATATATACAACAGTGACGCAATCTTTAGTTTTACATACAACAGTGACCCAATCTTCAGTTTTACATATATACAACAGTGACGCAATCTTTAGTTTTACATGTCTACAATAGCAACGCAATCTTCAGTTATATTTTCGGCAGTGACGGAAAGCAGAGCTATGTCATAGCAGGTGCGGTAATTCGACAGAAATACTGAAATTTTACGTTTACAAATATAAAGAGTTGTAGAAATGAGCGATTATACATGTTGTAATGACCATGTAGATCAATGCAAATTCATCAATTCGCTGTTGTATGTGATGAAATTTGGAACAATGTTTCCTTGAGGAGCAATTACTTCGCAAGCTTTAATATTTTGTTTTTCAATCACGGTTACAGGATAACTAAGTATAGGTCACGATGTGTAATTACCTGGGTTTTTGTGTGTAACAATGAGGTACCGACAAAAAGAACATTATCTTTAAACGAGTTCGGTAAAAATATTTAATTTGAAAATAATGACATTTGTGTCGTTTATATCCGCTATTCATGATCTCATTCGGAGGCGCCCATCCCGGGTAAATCAATACATGTACACCCACCATAGAGATAAAAAGTTTCCGGGTATAAAACTATACGAGCTGGATGATGACGTCATTGAATAATTTAATCAACAGATGTCAATAATATAAACTGGGCCTAGATTTAGGAGAATGTCAGCATTAATATTACACGGAAGAAAAAATTATTATAAATTGACCGGATCTTAGTTTTAGGAAACGTTTGTCAAAAATGAAAGAACCGGTATTTTGTAACTATTTTATGTGGTTGTCTTTTCGGAAACGATGATGCGACTCTTTGTGTAAGATCCTATTTTGATGGCTACAATTAACGTCTCTGTCCACGGACTTAAGTACAATGACTTGTGGTCCGTGTTCCTATAATACATGTGTGGTATGTTTTGTGAGCTATTGACAAGATGTGCATTGTGTACATACATAGAGGTACTTGTGTACTCAAAGTGTAACAAAACCTGCAGGCATCTAACTTTTTTCACAATGGTCACAAAGTATTTATTTGTTGATATTTCAATCAATCTTTATAAAAATATTTATTTGTTGTTAAATTCATTACTTGTTTTTAATCATAAGCAGTATAAATGTCTATTTAAAAGAGTGGGGTTGAAGATAATTGACCCTGATTTTTTAAATTGAAATGTTTCCTTTGTTTCTGTTTTCATTATTTGATTATACATGTACGAAACTAAATAGTTCCACATTGCACATTGATTCAGCATTACGTAATTTGGATGTACTTGCAGAGACTTTAAAAATAAGTTACAGTACGCATGATATTAAAGTTCCTTTATCATTGAAAGAGAATTCTCATGTATACTGTATTTCTCTGTTATTGAATTGCTTAAAATATTCTTTATCGGAGTTAAAATACAGGAACTAGAAAAGAAGGACAGAGAGATAATGTACATATACTTAAATACCGTAAATATTTAGTCCTACTTCATAATATCACTACCACTGACTTCTTCTAAATGCCAATACACGTATTGGACAATAACAGATTGTGAGAAGATAATTGTAGAGAAAGTCATTTGAATTCCATTGTTACGACATTGTACACATGGGTATGGAATATACTCAATAGAAATGAAAACACTTCACAAAGTTCTGTCTGCACCGGACAACAAAGACTTTGTCGCAAGAATAGCACTACAGTGCTAATGTTTATCCTGCTTGTAATATGCGACTTTAAAAAAAAAACTTCTTGACTCTTTGATTTGTTTTAGAAGACTTTCTGGCGTATCAGTATAATCTCCCTTTGTTGTTATACACAAGTATAAATGTACCCAATAAAGTCCGGGACATATATGTAGATGTTCTCTAATCATCTACTGGTTGGCATTTTAATAACACGTCAAACTGACACCTAATGACGTCGTATTGTATTCATATACATATAGATATGTAGGTCCGTGATGTTATCTTTGTTTAAATAAAGGTCGAGTTTACAAACTGTCGGTACAAAACCAACCTAAATATACACACAATAAAACACCCGGATGCTGTAAATAGTTTTATTTATTCACGCCGTGAGAATCTATTATTTTTAAGCAGAATGGAGTTATTTAAAGTCCAATATGTAATTGTGGAAAGAAAAGAGAAGAAATATCCGGAATATAATTAACAGTGCCATACACGAACGCGTATCGAACACCGTGAAATCATTGCACTCGAAATCCGGAAGTTATAGTAGTGTGCTGAAATTGCCAAAGCACACATGAAAAGGTAAATAAACATTCCTGTGACCTCCGTGTCAATCACATACTATTAACTAGCACGTGATGGCCACGGTGCTATTTGAGTGGTTCGTAGGATTGTCGTGGGCATTTTACAAACTGAGCGAAGCAGGGGTGCGACTGTCATTTAAGAGGCTGCAGCAGGGATTCGCTCCAAGCCCCAAAGCGGTGATCATGGATCCAGAGGTGCAGAAAATATCAAAAAATCTCGTGAAGAGTGTCGCAACCGGGGAGGTAAGAAACACAGGTTGCTTGTGTGTGTGACTTTTCAGATAACAAGTGTCAGGTTAAGGGTAGATGGTATCTATCTTGGGTATGATTGATAACCTTAAGAACAATCGGTCATTTTGGGACACAAACATGTACAGGTATATTATGTTTACTGGCACGCGTCGACAAAGCCGAGAGGAATGAAGTCTAGACTTATAACTAATTATGTAAGCGTTGAAATCTGGCACACGTGCTTGTTCACCAAAATAAAAGATTATAAAAAACATGAAATACAAATATGAGTAAATAACAGCTAATGGATATGTATTCAGGGAGGAAAAAAAGAGAATTATCTCAATGAATATGTATCGGTACAGATCTCGATATAGGATTTATCTTGAAAATTAACTTTTATAAAACATCATTTGTAAGTTCAATTATCAACTTAATTAGCTATGTAGATATTTATGATACTGCTAACAGAACAAACGTTGTTTTGGATGTTGGAGGAAACCCATGGGGGAAAAATTATCATGCTATCGACGGAAAACAGCTACATATAATATAACCCAACAGACATATATGATCCCCAGTCACCAATGCAGTCACCAGTGCCGTGAGCAATGCTGTGCATGTTCTAGGGGGACATGGTCAGAAGCTCAAGCTTGATTGATCTAAGTCTGTGATATTGGTTTAAGTTGTACATGCGTTCATAAAATATACATGTATCTTGTCTACGCCTACAGTTCGGTGGACTGGGATGTGCAATCATGTATATAGAGTATTTTTGTTGGGATTTTCTAGTATTATAGATATATGTCAGAATGATTATCACAATAGACCTATAGCTTTTCATCACTAAGTACAAAACGCTTTAGTTTGTTTACCTTACAATAACCAAATTATACTCATTGGTTGACTTCACAATCAAGGTAATAAAACTAAATGACAACACAGGCGTATAGAGTATCTAAATTCACTACAGATTTGTAGTATATCTAAATCAGGGACGTATATAACATTATTATATGTCCCTGTCTAAATTTACCACAGACCTATAGTATATCTAAATTCACCAGTATCTATATGGCAAGCCGTTTTAACATTTAATCCTATTTCCTCTTAAGATGAAGTGTGGAATAAATTTATTTCACTTAAGTGAAATTATTTTTGTCTTAAGGTAATTAAACATCTTTTCGCATTATGATTTATTTCACTTAAGTGTAAAACTATTTCACTTAAGTGAAATAATTTTTATAAGTCTTAAGAGGTTTATTATTTCACTTAAGTTAAAATCGTTTTCACTTAAGTGAATTTAAACAAGCAGTGGGATGTATGAACACCTACCTTCTTCAACAGTTTTGGACTAATCCATTTTATTAACCAATCATTTGGTATTTTCTATCTGATCAATCAGATTCAGAAATGGGGGTGGATAGTATCGGACTGTTTTATTTACCTTAAGAGGAAAAAATATCCCTTAAGTGAATGTAATTTAGCATTATGTCAGCACATATCACTTTTTCACTTAAGTGAAATTCTTTAAAACTTAAGGGAAATAAACATTATTATGCATTATGATTTATTTCACTTAAGTGAAAAAAAGAATCCCTTAAGTGATTTTCTCCCCCTTAAGTTGTATTAATAATTTGCATTATGTTTCATTTCCCCTTAAGTGCAATTGTTTTTCACTTAAGTGAAAAAGAATTTCACTTAAGTGAAAAAACTATCCCCTTAAGAGGAAATAGGATTAAATGTTAAAACGGCTTGCCATATATCTACAGCCATCACAGACTTAGATAGCTTACCTTAAGTCATCACAAACTTTTTTTAAATAATACCAGTATATATAAATCTTAATATCAAATGCCATGTACATGTAGGACACCAGAATTCATTCCAATAACATGCAGTATACCAAGTCTGTGAAATGGAAAAAAAAAATCCTTTTAACTTAAAAAAAAAATATCAGAAATATTTTGACAAATATTGCAACATAGATGTGTGATTAATTAGATAATTTTGGGTAATTCTATAGGATATTAAAGGATAACATCGTATTCTGAATCTATGTCGCCCATATAGCATTTACTGTAGACTAAATTGATGTGCATGAGTGCCTATTCTAGCAATCTCCAAGGAATTTGAAAAGTTACACAATTGAATAGTTTAACTTTTCAATAGGTTATGTACGGTATACCAAAGTGAAGCTACAGGACATTGCATATTGTAATCTGTAACTAGATTAAATTGTATGCCTTCCTCAGTTAGTCACCTCTTTACTGGTCTATAAATGTCATGCGTGTTTTGTTGCCCAGTTTACAATGTCAGGTAAATTATAACAAATCTCCATAGAAAAGGTCATGAACATGTATGTTTTTGAAGGCCACAATTTCATCTGTGCCATTGAGTGGCCTTTCCAGAAAGAATTGACCGTATGTACACTGTGATAACTATTATTTTGTTTCATGTATAAGTGTTCATAAATGATCATTATGTATTTTCAGAATGTTGCACTGGAAACATTTTGGAAGACAGAGTCATGTGTCGTAGTGTTCCTGAGACGGTTTGGATGACCCTTTTGTCGCCTCGCAGCGAGGCAGATCAGTGCCCTAAAACCTCAGCTTGATGCCATCAATGTACGGTTGATAGGCGTTGGCTTAGAGGAATTAGGGCTTGATGACTTTGTGAGTGGTGAATTTTTTACCGGAGGTAATTATAAAGTTATGATACGTTGATTCTATATTTTTTGCTTTCCTAGAAAATTCCTACCATTTGAAAAAAGTGGCCCATTTGTTATTTGTAACAACACTGCATCAAATTAGAAGCTTGTTTCATATGCATACCCATGGACTTGAGTTTGCCAAGAATTTGCCAAGAAATTGCCAAGATGATGTATTCTTCTCTTATAATACACAGTTGCGCAATGCAGTTTTGCCAGTAAGGTCAACATACATAGACCTAGATCTGTCACCCTCAGACAGAGTTCAAAACTCTGAACTTGTGAATGTTTTGATCATGTGACTTAAAATGTAATTGACAACATATGGATATGTACATCATATTGAATACACTGATACATTATGCAAAAGTCACTTAGTCAAAGAGAAATTGTCAATAAAGTGTGCTTTGTCTTTAAAGAAAATAATTTTTCATATCATATCCTGTGAAATATTTTGAAAGTTACAAATAAACAGAACCTCCTACATTATCTGAAGGGTTGGTTTGGTCTATACAAATATATTTTTTGGTCGGTATTATATTTTATAAAGAACTCTTCTCAGATTTCATTCCAAGGTCCTGAACATATTATCATGACTATGAAAGGTCAAATAATTGTTTGGCATTTTTAAAAAATGTAAATTTTGTTAGTCTGCATCAAGAAGTACATTGTACTCTGTGTAGAAGAGATACCATAACACCTAGTTTTGAGTAGAAAAATTTAATCTTTTATGTTATAAAAATATCAGAGCAATGAAAATCACTTTAAATTTTAAAATCATTTAAGTCTAGCGGGGTCTGTTTTTACACATATTTTATGAAGTTTTATGGATTTATTAAGAAAGTGGATGATATGCTGGGGTCTTTTTGTGTGTAAGGTACACTTCATACACTGACTTCACAGGGCAATATATCATTGTAATTTTATCAGACGATGAGTCATAATTACGTGTTACATGCCTGCAGTATACGTGGGAGGAGATAACAATGATGTTGATATCAAAATGTCACTTATGTTGATAATATTGCAGAGCGTTCATGATTTTACATACTGCAGTGTTCATGTTACATGTAATTTGATTTAGAAGTCTTTAAATGATTTTAATGACATAATAAACAGCAGCCTTTATCTGTTTATTTATTGAAGACATGAACCGATTTTTATTCTTTCTTTAACAATATTTACAATAAATAACATTAGAGGACTTAACAAAAGGAGCACACAAGCAGATTTAGGCAAATTTTAAAGAAACATTCCCCTTTGACTAGGAAATGAAGCAGGGCCAGATGCCTTCTAACCAGGACCCAGGAATAAAATGTTAGTTCTAAGTTATTAGCTCCTAAATGTATATATATTGTAAACTCCAAAATGTTTAAATTAGTAACTTAATTCATAAATGCATGAATCAGAAATTCCAAACTGTGTCAGTTATAGGTTGGAGATAACACAGGGTATGACAGTAAATCTGACATGTTAGGAACCATCAATACCTGGAGGTTATACAGGATATGACAGTAAATCTGACATGTTAGGAACCATCAATACCTGGGGGTTGTACAGGGTAGGACAGTAAATCTGACTTGTTAGGAACCATCAATACCTAGGGGTTATACAGGGTAGGACAGTAAATCTGACATGTTAGGAACCATCAATACCTAGGGGTTATACAGGATATGACAGTGAATTTGACATGTTAGGAACCATCCATACCTAGGGGTTATACAGGATATGACAGTAAATCTGACATGTTAGGAACCATCAATACCTAGGGGTTATACAGGATATGACAGTGAATCTGACATGTTAGGAACCATCAATACCTAGGGGTTATACAGGATATGACAGTTAATCTGACATGTTAGGAACCATCAATACCTGGGCATTATACATTTTGTTCTGCGATATAAAAATGGATCTGGAAGTCAGATGGATGCTGAAATAATCGTTGAATGTAGTCAGATAATTTCTTTCAAATCTTGGCTAATTTTCTGAAGATGGACTTAAGTTTTAGATCTTGTGTATATTGGTTGATATATATATATCATTATTTCAATTTTGATATAAACAAGGATGGTACTCCGGCATATTATTACATGCTGCCAAAACTCCAATTGCGCACTGCAATTTTACATTTAAGTTTATCATAGGGAAGAAATATGATAGGATTTACCTATATACGCTACCCAGAATAAAGCTCAGGTTTATATCCCTGTGGCATGATAAGAGATTGGGATGACTATGTTATACACACAATGTGATGTGTGAATTGGGTTAGTGGAGATCATAGCCTCCACGTTTCCTTTTCAAGCTGTCTCGTCAGGCGTGTAAATTAAGTTTCAGATGAAGCTTTTGCTTTTTATGTGACCATTGTGAAGTAATTGTACATGTTAGTCATTGTAGGTAAAGATATTTAGAATTGGATATAGAGAATAGGTTGAAAGTGATGAAACACTAAATGTTTATATTGTCATTACGAAACGTGATCTACTGGTTTATAATCTTCTTACGTGTTTTCGTGTGAAAAGATCATTAAAAATGCCTCACTTCCTTCACAATTATTTATGTATTAGCAGCTTAGCTGTATGCTTTAAGATTACCGTAGTCATTACCTTAGAAACCCAGGTACTGATGTAGTATACTTTTAACAGTGATCCATATAGGGTTGTAGGTTTTCTAATAAATATTTATCTTTAAAAAACAAATAATTAAAAAGGATGTGAGAAATGAATGAAAAGGGAGGGTACTCTAACACTAAAATAAAAAGGGGTGAAGAACATTACCATAAAAAGGAGGAGGGCTTCTCAAGCATAAAGAGGGAAAGAGGAACTCGAGCATGAAAATAAGTCAGATTTCTGTGATCGGGGGAATACTTTTAATTTCATGTTTCACAAATTATGGTTGACCTCAGTGTTTTGGTAGCATTTGATTTGGAACGATGATTGTTAGATAAGGAGCAGAGCTATTAAGCACAATAGATTTGAACTCATTGAAATTGTTTTAATTATGTTTTCAGATTTATATTTAGATTTGAAGAAGCAGTGCTATAAAGATTTAGGATTTAAAAGGTATGTATACTGTACAACTGGTTACTTTTGCAAAAACTTTCAAGCTGCTCGTTATCGACTGCTTTAGTATATTTTACAAATATGAAATGTCAATTAGTAAATAAACATGTGTCTTGAAGAATTGGTTATCATGGTAATGATTTGACTTTAAAAATTTCCAATGGACCCTGAAAACTGATGAAATGAAATATTTTACCCCATACATTTCACTCTAAACTGAATAACAGGATTATACATATTATAATGTAAGGATTAGGTCATGAAATGGCATCATCCATTCACAGATTGCATTATGATATCACTTTGTCGACTTTAGATATAAATCACAGAGGCCTTTAAGTATGACAGGCACAAGGAAGTGTTTTTTTTCTTCAATATTTGTGAAAATAAATGATCATGTTATAAAAAGGATCTAAAATTTAGTTTTATTACATATGTAATGTTGGAAGTTTGTCACAAATTTCCCATTTTAATTTGCCAGATTCTTAAGACTCAATTTCATAAATAACAAGAATTGAAAACTTAAGTACGGTTCAACAGTGTATAGCTCGCCAATATGTCAGTTTAACCCCACTTCCCTTATATGACATCACTCGAACACACCTTATTTGCAAAACTGATCTCTTGGTCCTAACTATGTCCTTATACAGTTATGTTAATGCACAACAAAACTTTGTGTGCACATCGTGCATACAGCATATGCACACAAGCACAATACAGTATCTTATTGCATGCCATGCTATAGAAGCACACATTTTGTGCTGTTTGGTAAAGTACACAAACCTTTCTGTTCAGTAAAATTAAAGGCATTGAAAATATCAATTGTATGATTTGAAGTTAGTCAAAACTTAAGTACAATCATAAATTAGACTGATCACAGAATATGTCCAATACTCTGTATTCCTTTAACTATGGACATGGTCCCCAGGAGGACAACTTCAAGGGATTTTCTTGTACTTTGTTGAATATTTCACTTTCGGTTTATTGTCAATAAAAGAATGCCAATTCTGATAAGTTATTGATCGACCATAAACAGAACACAGTATTATGTTATAGTAATATATCTCTACAGTAAATTATTCTCAGCAGTTTATACAGTGTATACAAATGTTTCTTATTATCAATATCTATTTTTAGACTCAACTTTTTAAGCCTTTTCCCTGCCATATTATCCAAGGTTTCTAGAGATGCTATGAACAAGGTAAGTAAATCATTAGTACTGTCAGTGGTTTGTTTAGTTAATCACCTAGTGAACAGACATAGGGTCATCTGGAGGCATGGTCTCCTTGTAGTTACCAATCACAAACACTTCACAACATCTGTGTGGCCCATTGCATGCCATCCAGGGGAGTTATCTAAAGCCTCGTGCTCTGCAACTGGACATTACTATGGCAATGCGAACCATTTCCTGAGAAACATAAACGACCATGGGAACTTGGATCTTCACAAGAGGCATAATTGGCCTCGACATTCAACGAACTGAGTTATCACTGTTTCTTACTGTTAGGGTGGGTGTAGATGTATATATGCTCTAAGTAAATCTTGAATTAATCTTCTGACATCTAGAAGTAGTACTGTTCTTACACCTGTACACAAAACCTGATTTCTGTATGGGGATATTAATACACTGTATATTGTAATATTCCATGTATTAAGCTTGGACTTTAACCTCATGAAAAAGGCAACAATCCCACTGAATCAGCTGAAAATATTGACCTCTGATATTTCATCATTGAAGTAATTGCTGACAAATTGGTCATTAATGGTGTGATTAAGTTGTATATAACCTGTCAAACTACGCTCAACTGTCTCAGTCGGAATATTGATCGTCTTACTTTTGAGTATCTAAAAATTCAATATCAGGGAATTCTTTATCAGAAATGATAAAAAACTTGGTATGAATTGGAAAGTAAGAGACTGCCGACATATTATACAATTCCATTACTCTTGAGAATAGAGTAATTTGAAGCAAAACTGTTGGAAGTTGATGTCTGACATTTTCTGAGTTACAATGGGTATTGTATGTATTCATAGATAAAAACTCATTAATGTTCTAGCTATACTGGATCTGTGAAGTCAAGCTTTATTTTTTTATGAAACAAAGAACATTATGTACGTAAATGACAGAAAAAGGATACAAATTATAATCGATACCAAAAAGGTCAAGTGCATTAAGTTTATGAAGCAGCACATGATACGGATGACCCCAATATTTTATTAATGTAGATTGAATGTCAAAGTTTTGAGCTGATAATTGAGGTAAATCTATTCCACTCTAATGTTTTGCCAGAACAAAATCGATATCATGAACATCAGTTTTAGGATAACAAAGAATTATTTTTTTTATTTATGATCACTAATGGTAAGCAGAACGCAGTCCCTTCAGGATATCTTCTCAAAATGTCGACCTTTCAATGATATGCCAGTATTTACTACCAGTGATTAGGTATTATGTGGACTAGAATGCACACACTCGGGTGTCTCAGTAATAAGCAAGTTCCCACACACTACTGAAAGTACCCTGTAACAATGTCGCCAATCCAGCATAAATAGGTTGTCCGTTTTATAGTACGTTAGTATGTGGGCCTATTTGAGGACTTTGAAAAAATATCTGGCAGCATTTTTAATAAACTGCAATAGACAGGGTTTACAGACATGAGTCTAACGGATAAATATTGTACTTCAAACATGGGTTGGTCATGGGTACCGGCAAGTAGCTATAGCCTTTCAAGTGGTAAGATCAGACTAGTAAGCCACCTCTGTCAGAGGTCAGAGGTCAGTGTTAGTCATTGTTCACTTGGTCCAGTTCTGCTCTATATTCATAAGTGAAAGTCCAATGTTTACATCTGTTCAATATTGACCACTTGGACTTTGATAAACGTTGGTAATTAGGGTTAAGAATATCCTCTTACTTCAATGTAACACCCCCAGTTGTTGGTGTACCTACCAGGAAGCTAAACACACACTGATCACATAGTGACCTGCTACAACAGAAATCTTATATGTGGGGATTATCCTTAGTAAAAACATCACCTTTAAGTAGCTGTATTGACATTAAGTTGCCAGAAAATGTTACATAAAATTGTGAACTAAGATAGTTTCAGAGACCCAAAATCTTATCAATTCTTATAGAATATACACGTAATGTTTTTGTGTGTTAGTGGAGCACCTGCAGTGATGATCATTTGATTTTAAAAACTAACAATTAATATCGGGTACTGATGAATATTTGTACCAGGTATATATTGCTGTATGTGTTTGGGAGCAGCTAGAAATGTGGACAGACACATAGGTTAAACATTCTTTATAGTTGGAACTCGAAAGTATTCAATGTTCGGCTCTCTGAGTGAGGAAGGAAAGAATCTGATTTATAAATGTTTAGCTAATATATAGTTAAATGAGGAGGGAGGAGAGAGCAATGTTTAGCTAATATATAGCTAGCTGAGGCGGGAGGAGAGAGCAATGTTTAGCTAATATATAGCTAGCTGAGGAGGGAGGAGAGAGCAATGTTTAGCTAATATATAGCTAGCTGTGGAGGGAGGAGAGAGCAAATTCTATAAGGTTGGCTTACATAGGATTAACAAAAAGAACAAGCTCTGTACATGTTTGGCTTGCATAGGATGAAAAGAAAGATCCAGCTCTGTAAATGTTTGACTTGTTTAGGAAGGAGAGAAAGACCCAGCTCTGTAAATGTCTGACTTGTTTAGGAAGGAGAGAAAGACCCAGCTCTGTAAATGTTTGACTTGTTTAGGAAGGAGAGAAAGACCCAGCTCTGTAAATGTCTGACTTGTTTAGGAAGGAGAGAAAGACCCAGCTCTGTAAATGTCTGACTTGTTTAGGAAGGAGAAAGACCCAGCTCTGTAAATGTTTGACTTGTTTAGTAAGGAGAGAAAGACCCAGCTCTGTAAATGTTTGACTTGTTTAGGAAGGAGAGAAAGACCCAGCTCTGTAAATGTTTGACTTGTTTAGGAAGGAGAGAAAGACCCAGCTCTGTAAATGTTTGACTTGTTTAGGAAGGAGAGAAAGACCCAGGCTCTGTAAATGTTTGACTTGTTTAGGAAGGAGAGAAAGACCCAGGCTCTGTAAATGTTTGACTTGTTTAGGAAGGAGAGAAAGACCCAGGCTCTATGAATGTTTGGATTGCTTAGGATCGAAAGAATGAGTAATTTGTTTTAATGTTTCTTTAGCTTTTACTGGAGGATGAGGAGTGAAATTGATATGTCTATCTGAGTATACAGGGAATGATTAATCCAACAAAAACTTCTGGTTTTAAGATAAAGATCTTTAGATTGACTGAAGTAATAGGGAATTGACATATCATCAGGTAAGGGAAGGAGTATTAAGCATTCAGTAAAATAGTTGTAATGATAATCCCTTATATGTCCACAGTTCCCTTACAATGTTATATATCTCTGTATGATATACTAGGTTCTGGAATATTATCCACACACATTGACACTTTTTTCTGTTTTATTGCTGAAGTTATTTGATAACAAATTTTAAGATGGAACCCGCATAACTATGCATTCAAATATAACTGGAGAGACAGCCCTAGGATTCACTTCTATAAGGTCAGGCCTCATCATATAAGTAACTGCAGTTAAGCTTTCCTTGTATCTATAGAATGGTAGTTATTCATGGGAAAAGTGATATTCTAGTGATAACAAACACTACTCTTTACAATTTCCTCACATGCTACAAAGCTTTTTAATTTCTTTCGTACCAGTGAAGTCAATCACCCATGGAATTAGATCACAATGTGATATATATAAATATATATATACATCCATCACTTTCAAATTTGTGTCACACTCACTTAACTGATGAGAATAATGAAAACTCAAACATAATGAATACTTTATCAGAAAACGGAAAATGCTGATTTTGTCACTTCTATAATTAGTGACAAGGCCTGTTTAGGTGAGCTGAGATGATGTCTGTCGCTTGTTATTATTTGTCATTTGTTAAGTGTTATAACCAACTTTTTGAGCTCACCTGGCCAGAAGGGCCAAGTGAGCTTTAAGTTTATTGTTACGTCTGTCATCCTTCTGTCCGTCCATCCGTCCGTCTGTCCATCCATCAACTTTTTCTATAAATAGCTACACTAGTAATGAACGACTTAGCCGATTTTGACCAACTTTTGTCTGAAGCATTCCCGGTTAAAGAGGAACAAATTCTGTTTACTTGGTGAGTTTCAGCCCCTTGGGGTAGGAGGGTAAGGGCTAAAATGGGGAAATAAGACGTAATCTTTAAAATCCTACCCTCCTGTATGAATGATTGAATTTTTGTTAAATTTGGACTGAATCAATTTTGTATAAACAGTAAGCTTGGGCCACTGGGGCAGAGCTCAATAGGGAAATAGTTCTTTAAAATGCTTCGTCTTCTGTAGGAATGATCTTGTTTAAGAAGGCGGGGAAAAGGGATGCCAGTTTTGTAGAATCAACTTCTCCTAGAGTTTTGACATAGAAGCTTGAAACTTTGTAGGATGTTTATGTATATGTTGAAGATGTGCACCTCCTATTATGGATTAATTCTGAACATTTTTCTGCATTTTCCGGGCTTTGGAACTTACATTTTCTGAAACTTTTCTTCTTATCACAGTTTCTCAGAAACTACTTAAAGAATCTTTCCGAAATTCCACATATAAATCACCTTGGGACCCTAGATGTCCATTGTGTAATTTTTTAGCATCTCTGAATCAAAAATGGCTGCAACTTCTTTCTTCAAATGCCCTTCTTTACTAATTCATAAAATACAACCAAACTTTCTCTCTTATAACAAATATTCTACATACTCAACAATTGAAACACCCTTAACTGTCTTATAAATACCATATAACATTGCACTCATCCCACAACCCGGCCAATTGTGGCTTTGCCCCATTTTCGGAAATATTTGTATAGTATGTCAGTTTGTTGATATACACATATTGAGCCTGGCTGAGCCCCAAAATGTTATCCTGGATGGTGGAGATTTATCTGCCAACCTCAGAGAAGAATCTTCTTCTCACTTTCTTACTATTGAAATATGTAAAATTGAAAAAAATTGAAATCAGTGAATCACATCATCGTGATTCATCCGTAGTGGATGAATAGCGTGACAAATCTGATGGCTTCTGATTGTAGCTTTCATTAATAAAACATCGTATGTAGGAGAGTTCTCAACATTAACCACCTTTACAAGTTTAGTAGGTAGGAGAGT